ATCTGCTTGGCACTGCGTCGGCTGTTGGCTCTGGTGGGGACTCACCAAGGAGACGCTAGGGAAGCCTGTCCTCTGCTTTAACAGTGGCAGCTGGTCTGAGAGTGCTTTTTTAGCTGGCCGAGTAACCACTGCTTGTCAGATTTGTATAAGGGCTAGTTATTGAGCAAGATCAATACCTCACATTTTATAAGGCTTAAAGTCCACAGCATTATCTAAGTATTTTTTTCCTGTACACATAAAGGATAACTAGACTTAGCAGAGAAGGAGGAAAGGTTGGAGATCCTCCCTTAGATAAGTGTTTTGATCTCCTAAGTGTGATGCTCTGGAAATAGCTCCTGCTGGCTTTGTCCAGAAGTCGGTACTTTCCACTGTGTCTTAGGTTTAGTCTCTGAAGCGAGACCAGCCCAGAACACTCAGCTGGGACGTGGCTTCTATGTGTGTTCTCCCAGCTGAGCAGAATTTCTGTCTCCTCTGACCCAGATATGTCTTACTCCTCTAAGATGACTTCCCTGTCTTTGGCAATAATAAATGGTCATTTTCTATGGGTTTAGCATAGTTGTTAAATAGGAGGAAAAGGTTGGAGCAGTCTAGAGTTCTTTTCTTTTTTTCTTTTTTTTGTGGTACTGGGAATTGAACTCAGGACCTTGAGCTTACCAGGCAAGAGCTTATTCTACTGAGCTATCTCCCCAGCCCTACAGTTCTTTTCTTTTTTTAAAAATTATTTGGTACAGGGTCTTCTCTATGTAGCTCGGACTTGTAGCAAGCCTTCTGTTTTTAGCCTCCCCAGCACTCACCATTCCCAGGCTCAGCGTGCCCGGGGGCAGGACCAGCATGGACTGTGGTGTGGGGATTGAACCCGCCCTCTGCACTTGCCTAAGCAGGTGCTTAGTCTGCTGAGCTATCTCACCAGCCCAGTTCTTTTCTTTCTGATTTTATATGTTTCTGAAAAGGAAAGTACAAAGTGGCAGGAAAAGATTAGGAGTGAGGCCAGAGAAAGGAAACTGAAGCAGAACAGGACTGACATTTCCTCTAGAGTGTAGAGGAGGATCAGAGCCATTTTGTCTCGGTGAAACCTGTCCTCCAGGTCTTGAGTGCAGGTACAGACCTAGCGTCTTACCTGGTAGGAGGAGTTTCATGTTTTATTAAATAGGCTTGTAAATAAATAAATAGGCTTGTATATTTTTCTAAGTCTGAGCTACATTTCGTTTAAAAAGACCCATTTTACAGATGTTTATATTAATATCCACTAGGGGGCACTCTAACATTACTCTAACCAGCGCTATTGCCTAACTGAAGTTAAGGAATGCCAGTAAATTTAGTTAACTAGTTCAAATACACAAGAACAAAACAGAAATAAAAAGGCCTGTTAAAGAATTATAACTTGGTCAGTGAGATAGCTTAGCGAGATAGCTCAAAGGACTAAGTGCGTGCTTGGCAAGCGTAGGGACCAGAGCTGCATTCCCTGTACCACATGCTGCGCTGGCCCCCGACCCAGGCATGCCAAGCTGGCCTGTAATCCTGGTGCGGGGATGCTGAAAACAGGAGAAGCACCCCGAGTCTGAGCTGCGCAGAGACCCTGTACCAAATACATTAAAAAAAAGGATAACCTTTCCATGTTTCCCACTTAGATTTATCATCATTTTAATAAAACTATATGAGACAAAGCATAAACAGTGGACAAAGATGTAACAAAATTCAGAGCATAAAAATTTGTTTCCTAAACAAGCTCCGATCCAGAGTCTACGAAATAAAAGCAAACTTAACTCCATCCAGTGATCTCAGGGCACGAACTCAGGTGAGAGAAGAAAGCAGCTCCCAGCAGGGCCCGCTAAATGTCCGGCCCCCGTTCATGTATTTGTTGGGGGAAGGAATAGCCTCTGTGTGACAGAGAGAGACAGAAGTGGTCCCAAGGGGGCTGCCCTTGGCTTTAAAAACTATCACAGTTATATCTGGTAGTGGAAACAACTAATTTGAAGACAACAATATGCAGTATAACAACTATTGTTGATTTCCTATCATTTTGTGTAGTAAATTCTGTATCATTTCTGATTATTTATTCGCTTGGTACTGGGGATTGAACTCAGGTTTATGCCTTCCAGGTAGGCGCTTCGGCCACTGAGCCATCTTGCCAACCCTCTGTACCTTTTATTTTATTTTTTTGTGGTACTGGGGATTGAACTCAGGACCTTGTGCTTGTCAGGCACCTTCGGACCACTTCTAATGTTTTTTAACTATTTTTATTCTCATTAAAAAAAATTTAGGAGGAGCCAGGGAGATGGCTCAGTGGAATAAGCACTTCCCTGGCAAGTGCAAGGGCCTGAGTTCAATTCCCGGTTCTGCCAAAATAAATAAA